TATGGTTATCAGACATTGTATATATGCGAATTGCGGCTTTGTGGGTGTACATTCATCGAATATTTCAACACATTTCAAACACACATCTCTATATTTCTTCCTCATGCTTCAAAAATTGAATTTAATTGAAATATACATTCGATATTCCTGCAAGACGAGCGTAATTCACACCTTATGGAATCTGCTGAATTAAAAAGAAATTTGTGATATCACACATATTGAAACTCAATATTTTTAAATGCAGATTAAAACATGTATATTCTATTTTTTGATGTAGAATTGATATAAAATTTAAATAATACTCCCTCTTTTTTAAATAATGATTTTTTTTCCATGATTCTTTAAAATTTTGAAAGTATCGAAATTTCTATACTTTAGATTATATATTGCTTAAATCTTTTTCAATCGCATTTAAAATAAATATTTTGAATCTACAATTGTTTTTAATATTTGTGACTACATTAAAAAATTAAGTTAATCAAACTATTTACCCTGTGATATTGTAATGAAATATTAAGACTATGTCGATAACTAGTGAAACCGACTGAGAAAATGTATTTTTGATTCTCGAGAAAGTTACAGAACGCGCCATCATTCGCAAGTAGACGTAACTACGTCTGGTATTCGGAACAGGTTCGAGGCACGGCATTCCATCACAACAAACCACATACAAGAGGAACCAGTCACACTCCCGAGAATCGGGGCTTGTTACGCTCCACTGTTCGCTCCAATAGCAATCCGATGATTTATGAAAATCATCGTCGCGGATGCGTTGTCATGCTCCCAATTGCCCTCGAAAGTGGAACCTTTTCTCTAATACGTCATACTTTACAGCTATAATTTTTTCTGACCATTCAAATTTTTCACTGTGTCATTTAAATCAATTCTATTTGATTTATATTATAAATAATACAAAATTTACAATTCATAAATTTTCAAATAATCCTTTTTACAAAAGATAGAAATAAAAAATTGATTTCAATTTTTAACTAAACAATCATTATTCCTTTTCGCCTTCTTATGAAATATTGTAAATATTCCTTTTTGCCTTATTTTGAAATATTGTAAATATTTGTAAATCTTTGAAATGAAATAAGAAAGAAAAGATTTCGAACTCAATTTCCATTAAAAAACGTAGCTTCGCACTTCCACTTCCTCCTTTCGCATAACTTAAATTACTTAAAATATATTTCATAAATAATTAAATTTATCGATTCTTCAATAATAAAATACTAAAATGAACTTATAGCAATATAATAAAATGATTCAACAATTCGAATATGAAAAAATGATTGTTTATATTCAATTACACATTATAATATTGTCAAAATAGCATACAAATAGCTAACAAATATTCCATAGCATCGCGAGAAGCGACTTTAAAATACAGAATGCTAGATTGATTCTCTTTAACAAAAAGTTCAATTCAATCATTATATTCGAATATTAAATTGTGTAGAATAAAGATTTTTTTAATTAAAATTAAACGTCAGAAAATTCATTTGAGGCTTTTACTAAGAAACTCGTCAGAGAAGCTGCAAACGCGACGAATCTAAAATAAACGCCGCACAATGTTATCTAATTCGACGCGAAATTGGCATTTCACAGGAATGCGTGCTCATATTAGCCTCTCTTCTTACATAAATCATGAACAATCCTATTGGACAGATTTCATCAATCGCTTCGACAGACCATAATTTATATTTTTCAATTAGTCAGGGAAATGCGATTTTTTTATCGTCTTCATGGACTCAGGAATTTTTAGGAAAAAAACTGGATTGTTTTTAGATAAAACTTTGGAGCATATGTATATATACATATTTGGTAAACTAGATATCTGCAAACAATTTGGTTTTTTTCATTTCATAGAAATGGAATTTAAGAATTAATTATGACTTCCTACTTTTTCTGTAATGTGAAATTATAAAATAAGAAATTAGAAATTGATACAACTTCTCTTACAGGGTACCATAAAAAACATAATCAATAATATAATTTATATTGTTGTTTCATTTCTTGTAATTTTAATTTTACTTTTATAATTTTTATTTTATGATTTATACTTTTGTATTTTTATATTTTATTATAAAAATCTGAGCAATTCAAATTGCACTAAATTAATTTTTTTATTATTATGGATTTTACTACTATTATATTTTTTGTTATAGCTCGTACAATTATAATGCTTTCAATCTTAAGTAATCCTTATTTTAAAATAGAAACTGACTTTAATAAGTTTGTCATTATTGATATATATTATAAGCTAAAAAATATTCTACCATATAGATTTCAGCTTAATCCCAACCCACTAGAACCTTGATCATCCAATAATCACGAACAATCTCCAAGTCCGTTGAAAATATAAGTCACGAGGCAAACTGACCTTGCACCATAGTGGCCGCCCTGGAGAGGACATCCAAGGCGCTCTCGACGGCAGACATCTCTTCTCTTCCTTCCAAAATTCCAAAATTCTCCAAAAAGATATCCTTGATTCCACCAATTTCAACCCTTTGAATTTTAATTTAAAAACCAACAAACTTCACTTATTCACAATTAGGCAGGTACTTTTCGTTAGGGATGCAGCAGGTGTTCAACACGGGTTGAAATTCCCGCGATGGAACGTTGACGAGCCCAACACCGTCACAAGGATCTCTGCTTTCTGAGGACAGAAGTCGAAGTTAACTGTTTGGGGACCTTCCTCGCGACCGAAGCAAGCACAAATAAAGTAAAACGAGGATTAAAAAACGTGACATTGTCTGTGGAATGCGGACCCCTCACCAGAGATCTGCCGCCCGCGTCCTCCGTAGCCCCGCATATAGCCCACCCTACGTCGCTTCGCGAGTCCCCACGCGTATCCACTCGATCCCACTCCTCCCACTGTTAATATGTCGAAGTAATGGCTTCGAATTGTTTTTATCTAAATTTTCCCTCCTTTTTATATTTTTTCCATTTGTCACTAATTAACAATAAATAAATGTTGTGATATATAGGACAATGATAGTTTAATCATTGCTTCTTATCTTCATTATTATTTAATATTGTGAGATCGAAATGTAAATTTTTTTAAACAATTATCTAAATATGATATTTGATGTAATTAATTATCTAAATTAATAATGGTCTCTAAATTTGAAATGTATTTTTGACCTTTAACCTCATCAAATATTTTTATGAAATATAAAGATCAATAAAAAATATTTGGTATGCTAAAATAAAATTTACTTAAAATCTTTGATGAAACATTAAGATATAATCGATGGTAATTTATTGACGATGAACATTCGTATATTGTAAAAATTTGAACAACATATATAAATTTCGAAAGCACTCTCGAAGCCATTACTACATTGTTCCTCTTCTTGCCCTGTATTGTGCCCTCTGCTCCCTTTCCAAACTTCCATGCAACCGGCATCATAATTTCATTTCTAATAACATAAATGATGCCTTTTAAATAGTTTTTTTTTTAATTATTCCATTTTTTATGTTTTCGTTAGGAATAAATAAATATTAACAGTATATATAAACAGTAATAAACATTGAAATTTTTTTTTAAATGAAATATATAAATTGAGAAAAAAATTAATATTGAGTTGTAATTCAAATAAAAAATAGCCAATTTTATAATTTCAAAATTTTATTCTTATCTCAGAAAATTTTCTCAAATTTTTATATGATTATTTTTAAAATATATCTTCTTAATTATTTCTCATTTTTCTACATCAAACTTTTAAATTATTACTAAGAAGTTAATTACAAAAAAAATTTGAAAAATTAATAATTATTCAATTACTAATAAATCAGAAAAATTATAAATACTTATCTTTTGATGGACAGAATTCATTGAAAAAGATGAATCAATGAAATACCGGACACGCGAATTCTAATATAATATAATAACAAATATACACATAAAAACACATGCATAATTATAAATTATAAAATTTTAAGGCAATAACAAATGGTTTTTCAAAATCGTCCAATAAAAAAATTTTTTAAATTATTCTTAATAGAAAGTAGATGATCGATAACAATTTTAATACTTTTTTACCGACTAAGCAAACGAAACGTTCTTCCTCACCTCTCCACCCGCTTTGAAGCAGGAATCGATAGAAGAATGCGACGTAGCGTGAAGAAAAAAAGGAACAAGCCACGCATTCCTCGAGGTAAATCGAACTTAAGGTGGTTCTCCCCCCATTTTCATGATAACTCACCGTTGGTTTTGCTATGACAAGCCAATGAATATAGAATCAAACATCCGGCACAATGTCCGCTGACACGTCGAACTAATGTACAGTACGTATTTTCATTGAAAACGATGGAAAATCTAATGGTATGCGATCGAACACACACGGAACACAGGCTGTTTGACACACGAGAGTCAGCCTCGATTCCCCACTACTTAAACATTACGTTGGAATGTCAGGCATTTATTCGTCACAACGCGCTCTATCGGCAAAATTGTCAAAGACGCAAGCGCGTCACAATATTCATATAAATATAATTTAAAAATTCCCTGTTTTCCCTCCAACAATTATATTTATTTATAATATGGATTTTACATAATTTTTTGTTGATATATAAAATTTTATTAAGAAAATTCTTCTTAATTTTTTTTATCATTATTCATTAACATCAATCTTTGAACAATTATTAGGAAATAATTATATAAATAATTTTAATTTAATTATAAACAATTTTTTTAATAATAGGAAATATTGAATAGAATTTTTTTTTTCAAGAAATTTATTTTATTTGATGATATTTATAACGTTAAAAACAAGAGACATAATCTCTATATATATATTATTCTCTATATAATATATATTATTTCGATTTTCATATAAAATCTCTATATAAAAGTTATACCAATAATAGAACAAATTCTAAGTTTATAATATATTTTGACATAAATAATCTACGTCAAATGTCAATATTATAATAAAAATTTAAAATAAAATAAATAAAATTGATGAAAAAATTGAAAATGAATATTAGATTCATATAGTCTTGAAATATATTCCACGATAAATTTTCAATATTTTTTTCATGATAAAATTAAATTTTTTAAGTATTATATTACACATGTCAAATACATTTTCGTCAAGGAAAAAAAATTTTAAATATTGTAGGAATCGAAAAAAAAAAAAAGGAAGATGAATCCATAATTCTTTTTCTCGATGATTATGCTTATTTAAATGAGCATAAAATTTCTAATTCTGTAATTCTGTATAATATTTATCACATTTTTTGATCGTCTTCGTCTTCATCACTTATGTTATCCAATGCATAGCAAAGCTGTAATTAAATATATTTAAAAAAATTAAACTAAATTAATTAATAAAATTTATAGAATTAAGATACCTCATCCAAATCGGGTCGTTTAAGTATTTCTTCTAATCCTGATAACTTTTCTAAATAATTTGGTATATTACACGCATCCAAAACAAAAGATAAACCCCGATTTTTATATTCAATAATAATAGGCACAGAGCAGGCCGTACAAGATGTAAATCTATGAGTAATCGTCAGTTGGGTATCATAATTCCATAGAGATCCGCGTATAGTATGTGGTACACATCCTAATAAACCAACCAATTTTGCGTCATTTGAATTGATATTATCTCTGCTATTTCCCACTAATGCCTCTGCTTCAACACTGTTAAATATAAAACAATAAATCATCAAGCGTTAATGATAAAGCAATTGTATAAATTCTTTTATTCTTATATACTATATGTATAAATATAATATAGTATATAAAGTGTAATATCTAATTAAATTTAAATTTACTTCTTACCCTTCAGGGTGTTGCAATAGAGCTATCAATAATTCTACTGCCATTCCTGCAGCTATTTGTGATAAACCTGGCCTACTAACTGTGCATTGTTGATCCAATGTTCTGTCAGTTTGTGACTATAAAATAACAGCTTTCATTAAAAAATAAAATTCGTATAAATCCTTTAGATTTAAGTTCATAAACTTACATTTCCCGGTTGTGTTACGTCGTTGCAAAAATAACAACCAAGATCCATACCACGAGGATTTTTAACTTCCAAGTCTGGAGAAATTTGATTATTAAAATTTCGAGTACCATGTCTCTGTACAGTATAAGAATCAAAACCCAAGGCTGCATTGATAGTAATCTTGTTTTTAGCAGCGCAAAGAACCGTAGGTAACCATCTAGCTTCCCGAGAATCCAATAGAAGAAAGACAACATCGCTTATTTCAATAAGTTCCTCTAATTTTTTCAAAGATTGCTTTGTAGATTCCAGCATGCTTTGACCAACAACGTGTCCGGGCATTGGAATATGTAAAACTATACCTTCTGTATTCTATATTATTAATAAAATTAATATAATGAAGTTTCATATAAAAAAAAATTATTTATAATACTCACTATGCTCGGTCGGATATTTAGCAGGGCATCTTTGGCTGCATGAGCTTTATATTTATGCTTTATAGCATCCTGATGATTGTACAAACTTTGACGTACAGTATTACTATGAGATACATGAGAGCTATCGACGAAAATTATGTTGTTTACTCCCCAACCTAAGAGAACTCTTGCTACAGAACAACCCAAAGTTCCAGCGCCCAACAGAAGACATTTAAGATTACAGATCTTTTCTAGATCTAGATTAGGAACAAGACGCCATTTCATTAGTTTTAGGTTTAAATTAATAGCTTTGTCTGATAACCTAATAAAAAATAAAAATATTAATGAAATAATAATAGGTAATTGGTAAATATTTGTATTTAAGTTATTTTTAAATAATTACTTAGTTGGATCCATAGTATCAGATAAATCAGCTATAGTGGGACCTAATTTATCATTTGAATTGCTCTCCCAACCCACTAGATGACTCAGAAACAGATTATCTCTTATGTTTTTATAATTTTTATATTCTTTAGTTTTTAGTTTAAAAACGAGACTTTTCTGTGCCTTGTTTCCTCGTATGGATATAAATTTAATAATTTTTGAAAAATAATGTGTAGGACAATACCAACATAAAAGACATAATAGATTACGTAAAGGCCAGCCTGGATTGGAACTTGTACATGGATCATAAAATGCAAAATAAATTTCAATGTAATCCTAAAAAATAATAAATAATAAGTAAATAATAAATATATTAAAATATTTTTATTTTAAAATTTATCTTACTTGTGATTGTTTTTCATTATTTATGCTGATAGCATTTATTCCTGTTGCTAGGTCAACAATGCATATTTTATTTTCTTTTGATATTAGTACTGTGAAATAATTTTTTGTTCTACAGTCTAAATGTAAAAAATCATTACATAAATTTTCAACATGTTTCTCTGAGAATTCTTCTGTGATCGATTTTGGAATTTCTTCATAATACATTTCTGGTAATTTTAAGGGAGTAGGATGTGCAACCCAGTAATAAAATCTGTATTTTTTTAAATCTGAATAAGCTAATACTAAAAATAATGATAATTTCCATGGATTTTGTAATATTGTTCCATCTTGAATACTATTTATAATATCTTTTCCCATAGAATCAATAAATTGTTCAGGATTAATTTGACGAAATGCTTCAAAAGTATTTGTATTAATCATATGTCCAAAACAAATAACAGATGATTTATTATTTATTGTTTCCAAGTCTCTAAAAATTACCTATATAGAATTAACTCTGACATATATATCTATTATTTAAAATAAACCAATTAAAGCAATTACATATATATGTTTTAGATATAAACTTACTCATTGAACGATGTGAAATCCAACACCAATGGATTAAAATTATCTTCATTCAATGATTGAAGACTATAACTTCCCCATAAATTGATACTTTTCTCATCCAATTTAAACTTGTCAATCTTCAATTCTACAAATTTTGCCCAAAATGTACAATCTGTAGTAGATCTGAGTTTTGTAAATTTTACAAATTCCGACATTTTTAATTTCTGAAAATGATTTAATCATATAATAATGTAATATTCATGTATTTAATAAAAATATAACACCGAAATGATAACAATAATAACAGTTATAAAATAATTATTAAACGTATTTGTTTATTTCAGACTAACATAGATTTTACTATAATTATTAATAATTGAATTAGTAATACATGAAGAAAAAATTCATAGAATCAAAGAAAAAATATAGTTTGTTTTGCTTTAGATAATGAATTTGCGAAATTTTCTTTACGCATGCGCGTCTTTTGTACAATGTAATGAATTATACTTCTTTTAAAAATCAAGCAATAAGATTTTTATGTACTATAATTTTCTCTAGATTTTTTATCTATAAAAAATAATAATACATTTTTTTTATAATTATTATTACAAAACAATCTCAAATTTCTATTAATTTAATCTCGAATAATTAATACAATATAAAAAGCATTATATAATTTCAAAAACTATAAATTGAAAAATTTTTCAATTAAATAATAAAAATAAAAATTATATAGACTATTTTTAATTTATATTTATATATATTTAATTTCATCATTATTACTAAATAGAAGATTTAATTTAGCCTAAATTTACATAATTAATATCATAATAAAGTTTTCTCTTAATTTTTTAATTATTTAAATAATTAATATTAATGAAAATAACAATTATTAAAATATAAAAATATTGTTGGTACGGTACTGTTGATGACGTCACAAAGACAGTATGGCCGGACAGCATCGGCTGTCTGCATTGTAACGTACGAAAACGCTTTTTGGGGGTTCGACGGGATATTTTAAAGGAAATATGTCAGATTACTTAAGATCCGCTTTAGGATACTTGAACGGAGCCACGAATACTAATGAATACGTCGGACAAATATTGGAAATCAACAATGTGAAATTACGCGTGACTAAGCTACTCGCCGAGGGTGAGTCTGTCAACCCTTCTATCATCTCATTACTAAACAATTTTATTTTAATTAAAATATTTCTGCGTTATGATCGTTTCTAATTATCAAATAAAATTATTTTTTTATGTAATTCAGATGATATAAAAGATGGTTGACATTGTGCCAACAGTGTGAATTACTTTTCTTTTGACATGTGTCAAATTTGTTTTGACATTCAGCTATATAATACGAATATGACCGAACTTTATGATCTATATTAGTGTTAAAGAAAAATAATTAATTATCTAAATGCATTTAAATATCTATATTTATAGATATTGTTTTTTGAAAATTTAATATATAATTCATTATTTAAATATTACATAATTTATTATAATATATATTTTCAATTTAAAAGTTTTATTCTTATTAAAGAAATTTTAATTCATTCAAATATTGATATTTAAAAGATATCAATGAAATAATAAAATTTCAGTAAAAAATTCATTAAATATTTGTATAATATTAAAAATTATATTTATTTTCAAGTTATTTATTATAATTAATATTAAAATACTTGTATCAACAGGTGGTTGGGCTTTAGTATTTGCTGTTGAAGATATAAAAACAGGAAAAGAATATGCACTTAAGGTGAATCATTTATTTACATTTATATTATTTTAAAAAATTAAAAAAAAAGTCATTCTAATATGGACTTATATTTTCAGAGACTCATAGCAATTGATGAAGATACTAATAAAATTATTATACAAGAAATAGAAACTTTAAAAAGATTATCTGGTCATCCAAACATAATCCAGTATCTTTATGCTCAGCGTTTGGATCGCGAAGATCGTAAAGGATATGAGTATTTATTAGTAACAGAATTATGCCCTGGAGGTACAGTAGCGGATACACTTAGAAATTTATCTACAAACACTCTGACTCTTGCTCAGATTTGTAAAATAGCCTATCAAGCTACAAGAGCTGTGCATCATATGCATAGTCAACAACCTGAACCACTAGTACACAGAGACATAAAATTAGAGAATTTTCTTATTGGAAGTGATGGTCTGATTAAACTTTGCGATTTCGGAAGTACTTCCAATCAGCAAATTTTACCTAATCCTTCTTGGAATGCTCAAAAACGAGCTACTTTAGAGGATCAAATGGCAAAATATACTACACCAATGTATCGAGCTCCAGAAATGATGGATACATGGAACAATGAGCCTATTGGTCCTCCAGTTGATTGCTGGGCGCTTGGCTGTATAATATACTCCTTAATAACACTCAGGCATCCATTTCCTGAAGGTATAAAATTTATATTATGTTAATAATGGAACCAATTCTTATCTAGTTTCATTTTATTTGTAGGTAACAAACTTGCAATAGTCAATGGGAAGTATGCTCCACTTCCACCTAATCCTCGTTTAATTTGTCTTCACGACATAGTAAAAGGATGCCTGGAGGTATCTCCTGTACAAAGATTGACTACATCAATGATTCTGGAGCGTTTAGCGGCGATAGCTGAGTCGAACAATTTTGATCCCAGAGAACCCCCAAAAGTGGAAGTCCCAATGAAAACCCCACCGCCTCCTAGACCTGCTCAACCACCCAGTACACCTACTCCACCACCGAGACCATCTCCTCCAACAAATGTACCTCTTTCAAAACCTGTCTCAATGACTCAGACTGTTGCCAAGGTCCCCGTAGCTCAAACAACAGGCCTATTTAGCTCATTGAAAGGCGGTGCTGGTAATATTTTGCGAAACCTAAAAGATACTTCAAGCAAAATGATGTACTCTATGCAACAAAGCATGGCCAGAACTGAATTAGATGCCAGTTACTTAACGTCGCGTATATTAATTATGCCCTATCCGGCAGATGGAATAGAATCTGCTTACAGAGCTAATCACATAGAGGATGTAAGAGTATTTTTACAAGCTCGACATCCTCCACCAGCTCGTATACAATTATATAATTTATCTCGGGGACGACCAAATATGTCTAGACTTCCTGGTAGACATATTGACTGTTCTTTTGCCTATGCTTCCTCGGATTCTAATGCTCCGTTATTATCAGCCTTATATCAGATATGTCAAGATATTTATCGGTACTTGAATGCCGATTTTAATCACATTGTAGTATTATATTGCAATGTAAGTATAGAGTATATAAAATATTTGAAATTGAAAAATTACAAAATTATTGTAGTGAAATCATTATAAAATATAATAAAAAAGAAAAATTTTTATTTCTACATCAAACAATGAAACTTTAACAAAAATACAAAATTTATATTTTTTATTTTATTTCATTTATTTATTTTATTTTATTTTTATTTTTAAAGAATGTGTGTATGCGTGCATGTTAAATTAGTATAATTTATATTAATTAAAAAATATAATATATTTTTCTTTTTTTAGGATGGGTACACAACCAGTGCCACAATTGCCTGTACCTTGTTAATTTATGCTAAAGCGTTTAATACTCCTAAGGAGGCAATAGCGATGTTCACAACCAGGCGACAATCTCCTCAGTTGCAGCCTTCGGAATTACGTAGTATTAATTATATGAGTTTGCTGAGTGCCGGTGTACAACCTCATACTAAGCCTTTAATTCTTCGTTCTTTAATAATTAAACCAGTTCCATTATTTACTAGGGCAAAAGATGGTTGTAGACCTTATATTGATATTTATAGCAATGGAGCTTTAGTATTCTCTACTAAACGACCAGAATATGAAGATATAAAATTGTTTGGAATGATGAAAGGAAAGGTTTCATTAGCACTTGGTAATGCTACAGTTAGAGGAGATGTTACTCTAGTTATATTTCATGCAAGGCAGCAATTGGGACGTATGATTGGAATTAAAATTGCTTCTGTTCACTTTCATACGGGTTACATACCACATACTGAATCTGAATTGATATTCAAGAAAAAGGATTTAGATGACGCACCTGAAATTGGTGGAAATTTCAGTGTTATTTTAAATATCGCGATGTCTGAAGAGAATTCGAAAATGGCTAGAGTTCCAGCTCCTTGGGAAGCAGAATTACATTCTGAAATAGAACCAGATCCATTATTTGGATCTACTTTAGAAATGGAGGAGACTTTAGAAAGTTTTAGAACTGTTAAACCAGAAGAAGTAAGTTATATGGTTTTAAAAATAATTTAATATTTCAGTTATATATTTTAATTATTTTAATTTTAAAATAATAGAGTCAAAAGGAAACTATAGTTCCATCACCAGTTGAAACACAAAACAATGTTAGTGTACAAGAAGTACCTCAACAATCCGTAGAAAATATAGAGAAAGAAGAAGAAATCAAGTTACAAGAAGCTGATTTGTTAAACTTAGGAATGCCAGGCACCAGTACCATAAACAATACTCCACAAATTGCAGCGAATCCAGGATTAGATATCTTTTCTAATTCTAGTCAAAAAGAAAGTGATCTCTTAGGAGGATTCGGTAATTTTATTCAACAAGAAACGAAAAATACTGTACCCACTATTACTAATCCCGTTCAGAATGACCTACTTTTTGGTCACGATCAGCCTATTAATAGGAATGATAATAGTAACAATAATTTGAGCGATTTGTTCTTCAATCAAAATCAATCTATTACAAAACAAAATCTTGAAGATTTATTTGATCCACTTGGTAAAAGCACTGTAAACAATCTGTTAGGAAACACTAAATCGAGTAATGCAAAACCTCCATCTGAAGAAAACTTTCCAAGAAATTCGAGCGTTCCGAATTTTACAGCTCAAAACAAAGATCCCTTTACAAATCTTGCCAGCTCTTTGGGAGCTGGACTAACTTCTAGCTGGAATGGAACACCAAAAAATTCTAATACTCCACAATCAACTAGTCCTGCTCCTGCTAGCACGCCAATCCATTCGAGTCCTAATACGCACAGAAATACAATTAACGAGACCAATACTTCTGATAATACTGCCTCAGGCAATAAAACGAATAAATCAAGTGGAGATGCTTTTGAAGATCTATTAGGTAGTCAAGGATATAATTTCTTTAGTTCGCGGAAGGCAGAAAAAGACAGTCCAAAGACAATAAATCAAATGAGGAAAATGGAAGCAGCCAAGACTATGGATCCAGATAGATTGAAGATAGCTGAATGGACAGAAGGGAAAAAGGGTAATTTAAGGGCTCTTCTTTGTTCATTACATACAGTTTTGTGGCCTGAAGCTGATAGATGGCAACGATGTGAAATGCATCAATTAGTTACTACGGCAGATGTGAAGAAAGCTTATAGAAAAGCTTGTTTAGCTGTACATCCAGATAAGGTATTATTTAAAATCTGAAATTACTAAATAAGAAATTAATGTAAATATATATTGTAAAAATATATATCTGACTTTAATATTTTTTTTTATATTTTTTCTAGCAAGCAGGAACGGCTAACGAGAATATTGCAAAATTAATTTTCATGGAACTAAATAATGCATGGAGCACATTTGAAAACGATGCGTCACAACAAAATTTATTTAGTTAATTACTTTGATATGACTGTAATACGCTTGTTATGTCCACGAGTTAAGGTAGTTCCTAGCAAAAAGAGAGAGACCCGAGAATTATTAATTATTATTATTAATTGTAAGATATCTCTCTATGTTACATTCCGGCTAATGTTATCTTAGCTGTAGTGAAAAAAAAAAAGTAAGAATTTTAATGAATGCAAATTTTCGAGTACTGCATTTGAATGGCAACGTGTGTATATGCATCTCTTTATGATATAAAAAAGCCTTGTAAAATTACTTAAAAAAAGTAAACTCTATTAAGTGTAACTGCGGCATAACGTATATATGTATATAAAGTAAAATGTAAATTAAGGAAGATTCCAAATATATAAAAATATTTTCCGGTCGATTATATTATTGTTTTCGATACTAACCCAATACCCATTATTATATAAGAATTCTTTAATATTTAACAAATTTAAATATTTAATTTTAAAAATCATAATTTGTAATAAAAAATTTATTACATTCTATAATAAAAAAATTTTAAATATTTTAAAATAATTAGTTGTTACTAATAAAAGACAATGTTATGATTTCTATATTTTTTAAAAGGAAATTACAAAATAAAAAAAAAAGAATCCTATTTTTCAATAGTTGGAAAAATATATATGCTTATATATATGCCCTATACAAGTAACTTATGTGAAATTTAAGGAAGGATTTTTACTATTCAGTAAATTCTATATAACTATTATTATATTTCATCATCATAATTCAACTATATTATTTTAATTTGAAAATAAATAATGTCATTATCATATTATTAAATATCATAATGTATCAATACATCACATATATATATAAGTTTCTTTTAAAAATTATTATTTTGATTTGAGAATAAATAATGTCATTATTGTATTAAATATCATAATGTATCAATACATCACATATATATATATGTTTCTTTTAAAAATTGAAAATTTCTTGAAAACAAAATATAAATATTAATGTAAATAAGTTAAGAAAGAATAAGTTAAGAAAAATATATTCTTTTTCTTTAAGTTTATAACAAAATATTTATCACTATATTATATATATTATCACTATATTATAATTAATATAATATAATATATAATATAATATATTATAATTAATATAATAATTAATATAATTAATATACTTATATTATATTATTAATTATATACATTATATAATTATAATATAATATAATTATTATACTAATTATGTTACTATATTATATTAAAAACTAATGAAATCTAATTTATAAATTTTTACCAATTAAATTAAACTTTAAAAAAAATTGTAATTTGGAGATATCAAAATTTAATGATTTTTATTCTGTTAAAATTCCATATCTTATAACTTTAGGAAATAATATTAAAAAATTAGTAATAATATTAAATTAAATTAATTAATTAATTAATTAATAATTTAATTAATAATTATATTAATAATAATATAATTAATAATTAATAATAATTTAATTAATAAATTAAATTAATATTAAAATAATATTAAATAATATTAAAAAAGTTATAGATATTATACATTATATAAAATAATTGTAAAAAATCATGAAAATATTTTTACGGCAGTAATTTGTTAGCGTACAATATGTATTCTTCTTTATAACATACCTTATTTTTTTATTATGTTTATTATTATTGAAAACTCATTTAAAACACATACAAATAAATATATTGTTTAAAAAAAAACATTTTCCTATTTTATCTACTAAATTTATAAACGTTAACTTAATTTTCTAAACATAATTATAAACTAATATATATATATATATATATATATATATATATTAACCGTATTCGTAATTTTTTATATTTTACTTCACTATATTTTCTCTGATAACGTTTATTAAATTTATGAAATTATATAAAATGAAAAAACACAAATATAATCTAACTAAATTTTAAAAATCATATTAAATGATTCTTAAATAACACAATACAATTCACAAAAATTACCAATCGTAGTGAACAGTTTCAAAAATAAAGTCCAAACCAATACTTATGTGTTCGATCATTAAAATAAAATAATCAAAAATTAAACGCAATTATACGTATTATTTCACAATTAAATTTCTACTTATTATATGTTTATTTCATTTTTTATTTCAGAATTTAGACATTATTTTATTATTTTATTATCTTGGCAAGATTGAATTATTTACGATTATAGTGACATATAAATATTATTATTATTTTTCAATCATTTCTTTTTACGTCGTTTATTCAGTGTTTGCCGCCTAAAGTTTTGTCGTACAAGAACACAAAATTAATTACAAGAATAGATAATATAATGCACATTATTCAGAATAACCGTTCTTAATAGTTTTTTAATAATATGTTAAAGTAGATGTTATACAGCAAGTGTTGAAAAAATATATATATGCACAAGAACAAACACTGATGCATTGACGATTTATTTTGGATAAAGATAAAATTATCAATGCGCAGAATTTCAATACGTGCGAATTTTACATTTATAAATCAATATTAAGATTGTAATCGTTATATCATTATTCATTTAATTTTTGCATTATTAAACATTGTCAGTAATTTATTCAATAAATAGAACTTTATAATAAATAACGCGAATTATGATTATTTAGCTGCATCTTTTCCTTTTCTTAATGTATTCTATGCATCGAAGATACTATCAAAATTATTAATTTTTGCGTAATTCATATATTTCTCTGTTCTACCAACGATCTTTTTGATATTTTCAGTAAGTATAATTAATACTTTGTTGATAAAATGTCATTTATGAGTAAAGCTTATTTATAAAAATTTTTATGATAAATTTTTTATTGATAAATTCGATTTTTTCATAAGTTACTTTAATGGATGATGAATATTGTATAAAAAAAGAAATTAAAGACAATTTTCATTCCAAGAATCATGAATCTAGTTCTTCATTCATGATTGAAGATGAAGTTCTAAATGCTATAGAAAATCATGAAGATCTTGGAAACATGACTTTTTATATGGCTAATTATATCAAAGATGCTATGAAAATGATGTTCATTATGCGTAGTCATCATATGTTTACTGATGTTATATTAGAAATAGAATCAGAGTTATTCCATGCACATAAAATAATTTTAGCTGCTGCTAGTCCATATTTTAAGGTAATTCTTTTTAAAAATTCAAAATGTGTATCAAACAAATACAAAATTACATTGGATTATTGGTCATATTTTAGACAATATTTACAGGAGATTTAAAAACATCTCAAATATCTAAAATAAAACTTCAAGGTGTCAATTCAACAACCATGGCGTGCTTAATATATTTCATGTATACTGGCAAAATAAGAATTACAGAGATTACAGTGTGTTCTCTTTTATCAGCAGCTACAATGTTTCAGGTATGCAAAAATATTAAATAATAAAATCTTAATAAAAAAAAATTATTTGATAATATTTATTATATTTGCCATCATTTATTATATAGATTAGTAATGTCATAGACGCGTGTTGTGTATTTTTAAAAAAACAATTACACCCCACAACTAATATTGGATTTACTAATTTTGCCGAACAATACAATTACTTGAATATATGTCAAAAAGTAAGTGTAAAGGAAGAAGTATCTCAACAATCAGCAAAAAATGTAAAGGAGAAAACCAAAAATAATTCCAAACTACAAGAAACTGATTTGTTGAACTTAGAAATACCAAATAGTAATAGTATAAATAGTATTGCAAATTCGGAATTAAATAATTTTTCTAATCAGAAAGAAAATAATCTCTTGGGAGAATGTAATAATTTTTTTCAGCAAGAAACAAAAAATACTGTACCTATCATTACTGATCCTATTCAAAATAATTTAATTTTTTACGATCAACCTATTACTAGAAATGATGATGGTAATAATAATTTGAATGATTTATTTTTGAATGAAAATCAAACTACTACAAAGCAAAATCTCGAAGATTTATTTGATCCACTTGGTAAAAAATCTGTGAATAATCTATTAGAAAATGTGCAAAATACTAAATCGAATAAAAAGTCTTCATTTGAGGAAAATTTTCCAAGAAATTCGAACGTTCAAAACAAGAATCTCTTTGTAAATCTTGTCAATTCTTTGGGAACTACTGAACTAACCTCTATCTGGAATGGAACAGCAAAAAACAATAATATTCCATCAGCTACTTCTGCTTCTGCTAGTATACCAATTCATTCGAATTCTAATACACATAGAATTAATGATATTACTGCCTCGGACAGTAAAACTAACAAATCAAATGAAGATGTTTTCAAAGATCTATTAAATAGTCAAGGATACAATTTCTTTAATTCACGAAAGACTGAAAAAGACAATCCAAAAACAATAAATCAAATGAGAAAAATAGAAGCAGCCAAGATTATAGATCCGGATAGATTAAAAATTGTTGAATGGACAGAAGGAAAAAAAGGTAATTTGAGAGCTCTTCTTTCTTCATTACATATGGTTTTATGGTCAGAAGGTAATAGATGGCAGCGATGCGAAATGCATCAATTAGTCACTACTGCAGATGTAAAGAAAGCTTATAGAAAAGCTTGTTTGGCTGTGCATCCAGATAAGGTATTGTTAAAAAATTTAGAATTATAAAATAAAAAATTAATATAGATTATACATTCGATTTTAATATTTTTGTATTATTTTTTGTAGCAAGCAGGAACAGCTAATGAAAATATTGCAAAATTAATTTTTATGGAACTGAACAATGCATGGAGTATATTCAAAAACGATGCGTTGCAACAAAATTTATTTTAATTATTCATTATTTTTTTAAATTTATTATTTCGATTCATATAATTAAGTGTAAAAAATTTCTTTGTCTTATATTCGACTAATTTTATCTTAGCTGTTAGTGAAAAAAAAAAAAAATCAATAAAAATCTAATTCGAAGAAATTTAGCGATTGCAAATCGAAATTATATTTGAATGGTTCCATGCATCTTTTTATAATATAAAAAAAAATTTTGTAAGTGAATTGTGTTAAGTGCAGCATAACATATATATGTATATAAGATAAAATGTAATTTATGAAAGATAATGTTTCAAACATATTTTTCGTCCGATTTTCCTATTAATTCAATACCCAATGTTATCAAGATTTTTCTTTCATATTTAAAAAATTTAAATTTTAAAAATCATAATTTGTAACATTTTATAATAAAGATAATCATTATTTATTCAAAAATGTTATTTGTTATTTTCCTTAAATAAAAGAACAATATCGTAATTTTCTGAAAAAAAATTAAAAAATTAAAAAAAAAAAAATTCGATTTTATTTTTCAATATCTTATAATTTAAGGAGAAATGGATATGATATACATACATATAGTGTATGTGTGCGAGAAGATAGTATGTGTATCATAGGGGTGAAATTTAAAGGGAGGGGCTGCTCGAAAATGGCTGTTATGCACGGGGTAGGACGTTTAGAAAAGGGCAAGTGACGGTTCATCCCTGTCTTCCACATTGACCAATTGACATTATTTTACGACAATTGATACGGTTACCTAATCGATAGCTATTATGTGGCGGCTAAAAAGCAATCTTCGTGCTCTTCTTCATCCACCTCCGGATCTGCAACATATGATTCGCTTTGGGAAAAGGTAAACTATCTTCACTATTGCTAAACATTAAAACTTGGTAAGTTTAATCATTAAATTTATTCAACTTTGTGCTTTGTTCTATCATGTGTAAAAAATTCGATTATGTTTTAAATAAAGTAAAATTTATAAACGGAAAAGTGCAAGTGTGTGAAAAACATTTTCGGGTAAAACGTTACACGAGATAAAAAAAATATTTTTTATGAGAGCAGATACCTTTATTTTTCATTAGTAAAATTTAATCATGAAAAATATTGTTCATACGATAAAAACGCAAAATATTTTAATTGTTATTGTCAACAATGTGTTTTAATTTGTAACGTGTCTATGAACCATAAATGATGTATATAATTAAAATATGAAAATAACAAATTATTTTATTCTAATTTTAACAATTACAGATTGGAACCTTACATGAATAATGTAAACCAAACGAGCTAAGTAAAGAATAACGCAGAGGAGAAACATATATAAGCAAAGAAGATGTTCGGCCTCCTTCGAAGAATTTTATTCCTTTTTTTGTTGGGAACTTCTTTTTGTTTCTGCTCCACAGATCCTGCCAGATCTGTGAGAGCAATTAAAGGACGATTTCGAACATCTTATGCTGCATGGCGTATAGTGTTTTCTTTGACACAACCACAAGGTTCGCTAAAAACGGATGTACAAAAAGCATGGGAAAAAGCAAGACTGGAATCATCTCATGCAGACATGAATGTATCTTTCATAGAAGCTCCACCTAAGACAGATTCGCTATCCTATCCTCTGTCATTATTAAACAAATTTTGCAATGAAATTAAAGGTGGAAGAACTGCATTAAGTATCATTATTGGAGGAGGCTCTGCAGCTAAATTTCTTGTGACTGCTGCAGCTTCATTAAATATTCCAGCATTGTGGTTACCGTTCACTCATGAAGATTTTCTTAGACAGGTTTGTTATAAGTTCAATTATTTATTATAATTAATTTTTGCATAGTTAATAAAAAAATTGCAATTTAAGGGCAATCTTGGTCAATTCGAAAGTCGTATAGGGTCTAGTACAAAGGAAGTGGGAGCAGCTGCTGCTGCTTTAATGCACAGAGCAAACTGGCATGCATTCACTCTTCTTATAGATACTACTTTGCTTCCAATCAATGATTTATTGCATGCAAACCAAACAACTTTAACACCTAGAACCATTATACATCTTCCGACAAATGATAAAACTTTGAGAATTAGACTGAGAAGAGTTGCCGAGGAAGGAGGTAGTGGAGGAGTCATAGTAATGGGTTCTGACTTGAACAGTGCACGAAGAATATTAGCTGTGGCTGGCAAATATGAAATGCTTGCAGGAAGATTTTTATGGCTTTGGCTAGACTTGAAAGCAGAACTAAGACCTAACGAACCAAATGTTATCAGCTCTCATATTATACATAGCTCAAGATCATCGATAGCAACGAATGAAAATCCTTCAGCCCTAGAGAGTATAAATCGAAACATGAATCTCGTAGCAGAAAATCAGTTATCTTTAAATTCCTTGCCCAATTTATCGAATGATATACATCGATTACAAGAATATAGATGGCAGAACGAAATGTCTGTGAATAAACAAGAAGATAAAAGCTTTAATTTTGATGATGATGAAGATATTAGAATAAAGGACAAGGAATTGAATTCCAAAGATTTTATGCCAGTTGGTATGCTAGTATTAAGACCATCTGGCATAAAATTAATGGGTAGTGATACTATATTATCCAGAATGATCAGGGAAACCTCTCAGGCATTGGACGAAACATTTATAGAAGTAAAACCTAGATTGAATCGTTTAAATGAAGCTCAAATGGAAGAGAACTTTATACCAGAATGCTTCTCAAAAAATAATGCTAAATTTTTGACAAGTAAAATGAGGCACACTGTTTCAAAGACTTTAACTCAGAAGTTGAGGAATTCTGTAAGTCAACTTTCCAAGGACAAAGCTAAATTTCATTTGCTGAACTTACAAGCCATAAGATTTCCAGGAAACAAGACTCAATTGAGGTATGTTTAAACAATATTCGTTTTTTCAATTAAATATAAATATTCATAAATATTTCAATTCTTTTTCCATAGATGGACCAAAGTTGGTACAGTAAAAGGAGGAAAAGAAGTTCATTTGGATACCATAATTTGGCCAGGGGGTGGTATCGTGCCCGCATATCTAGAACAAGGAGGCGAAAAAATTGGGATGCCAATGTATCGCATAGTAACAGCACTGGCACCACCATTTACAATGGTTACAAATCTACAAGAAGGTCTCTGCTTGAGAGGAGTTTTTTGTCGTCAAGAAAATATTCTGATGTGTTGTTATGGTTTAAGCATGGACTTGATGTCCTTGGTGTCTCGTGAATTAGGATTTCGATACGACTTATATTTGGTGAAAGATGGTCTGTTTGGAAAGAGAAATGGCAGCACGTGGAATGGGATTATGGGAGAATTAGTTTCTAGTCGAGCTCAACTAGCCTTTGCACCGCTCAGTGTGTCTGCTCGTAGAGCGGAAGTAGTTGATTTTACCACGCCATATTTCTTCAGTGGAGTCAGCTTTCTCACTGCGCCAAAGCTCAAATCAGAAATATCGCTATTTGCTTTTCTATTTCCATTCAGTCCAGAGCTGTGGATCGCTGTTTTTACATCGTTGAATTTCACTGCCACAGCAGTGGCACTTTACGAGTGGTTCAGCCCGTTCGGTCTGAACCCATGGGGTAGACAACGAAGCAAGAACTTTTCGATAGCCTCTGCCTTGTGGGTGATGTGGGGTCTCCTTTGTGGACATTTAGTTGCCTTCAAAGCACCGAAATCCTGGCCTAATAAATTTTTGATCAATATTTGGGGTGGTTTCTCGGTTATCTTCGTAGCCTCTTATACAGCCAACATAGCTGCCCTTATCGCGGGCCTTTTTTTCCATCCTGCAGTAAGCAATTATCACGATAAAAGTGTAAGAACATATTTTTATTGCATAACAACATTGAATAAATATATATTATCTCGAATGATAATAAAAATTAATAATATCTGTTGCAGTTGTTATTACAGAAGGTTGGTGCACCAAGAGCGTCCGCAGCCGAATACTATGTACAGAAAGCAAACGCACAATTATGGTCCCACATGGCTAGATATTCTTTATCAAATGTTGCTGAGGGTGTAGAGAGATTAAGAAATGGTAGTTTAGATATACTTATAGCAGACACTCCTATTTTAGATTACTATCGAGCGATAGATGATGGCTGTCGATTGCAAAAAATTGGAGATACTATAAATGAAGATACTTATGCTGTTGCCCTTACCAAAGGTCATCCTTTGAAAGAAAGTATATCCAGAGTTATAGCTAATTATACAAGTACCGGGTTACTGGATATTCTGCAAGAAAAATGGTAGTTTATTAAAATTATATAATTTTAAGTATAAATAAAAAAAGATTAAATAAATTAAAACTAAATATCTAGGTATGGTGGTTTACCCTGCATTCGAGGAAGAGAAGGAATGGATACCGGTTTTGAACATGAGCAAGGAGGACAACCCAGACCATTAGGTGTTGCTTCTGTAGCTGGCGTATTCTGTCTTCTAGGAATGGGTGTTGTTCTCGGTACAATTATTTTAGCTGGGGAACACTTATTTTACAAATATACATTGCCCAGATTGAGACACAGACCGGAGGATTCTATATGGCGCAGCCGTAATGTGATGTTCTTCTCACAGAAATTATACAGATTCATCAATTGCGTAGAGCTGGTGTCGCCACACCATGCTGCCAGAGAACTGGTTCACACGGTACGACAAGGACAAATTGCCTCCCTTTTTCAAAAAAGTGTCAAACGAGTAAGTAACTTTTTGTTTCAATAAATTTGTAATATTTTTCATATATCTACAAGGTATCCATGTTCCAGAAGGAACACGAACAACGTCGAAGACGCAAAAGTAAAGCTCAGTTTTTTGAGATGATCCAAGAAATTCGAAGGTGAATTAAAGAATTTAAGAAACTATTTCATGCTTTGGTGATTTAATTTAACAAGAATAACATTTTAATTTTACAGAGTTCAACAAGAGGAAAAAATAGAAACTGTATCAGAAGAGCAGGAAAAGATATCCACTATCAAGAAAGAAGAGAAACTTATAAAGGGAAGAGAAAGAAGCAAAAGCAAGAGTCCTTTAATGCCTCGAAGTCCAAAGAGGTCAGAGAAGAGTAGAAGTTCGACCAATTTATCAAGCTCTAGATTAGGATTATCTCCTATCAGTTTGGAGGCTCCTATGAAGCCCAGAGAGTTTACTCTAAGTAGCACCAATTTAAGAGCGAGAAGTCCTCTTGAAACGGTGGGTCGTCGTTTGAGTCATGGAGATGGTGGATCACCACCTCCACGTTTAGGTTCTCATTTCGGAGGTAGTGCAACATTAAGACCTTTAGCTCCAACAAAAAGCGATTCCACCGGTAGTACGACACCAACGATCAAAGGTGAATCGACTGGAGGAGGTGCACCTACACCTAGATATGCCAGAAGTCCAGCAAAACGAGGACAATCGTTTCCAGTGTTCGCTACCTTGAGACCACCACATTCTTCTACCTATCATATATCCAAGAGTCCATTGTTATCGCCGAATAACGAATTAACTTCGGCCATAGGGAGAAAGCTATCTCGTGAATGGGGCTCAGGAACGATAGACATCAGCAGGTCCTCAGAAGCGATGGCCAGTGGTTCCACTTATACATTAAATCAAGAAATGACATTGTCTCTAGAACGGCCATCGCATGAGAAGATCCAGGATGATACTTTACCCATTAAGAAGCCTATAAGAAGAGCAAGAAGTCATGAAAACAGAGATACTGGCAAATTGATGGCTGATTTACCATCACCAAGACTTACCGCTCAACCGGTAGTGGGAGGCCGATCGGTAAGCGAACGAACGAAAAAACAATTAGAATCCGAATTGAAAGCGATTTTAAGTGCTAGAGCCCATCATCGCGATTTGCATCCTCCTTGATAGACAACAGACTATGTCACTTAATTTCAATAAAAAAGGGAGAGAGAAAGAGAAAATTCTTACAAAAGTGAGTCTTAAAAGCTTCAAAAATCGTTGCCTCTGAGGGGCTTTGATCGATTTAAGCAATATCAGATTTATAGGTCAATTTGTAGAGGAAAAATCAGACAAACAGTAAAACAAAAAAAAGATATATAAACGAAAAAATATATACATAGACACAGTGTCTTCGGAAATATTTAAAATGTAACACAAGAAAGAGATTCTCCCATAAAGAAAAACGATATCTCTTTATTTGTTCATGTTGTTACATACATTGATAATACTGATAGAGTATGTTGATTAAAAAAAAAAAACGGAAAAAAAGTGCTATAAAACTTTAGTAGATTGTCTCTAATAAGTAGCGACTTAAATGAGTAACTGAAATATTTTCTTGTTGGCATTTTAAACTCTACAGATGTTGTCGGTTTGAGCGAGTCTCTCTTTAAATTATAATACGATTATTAGACATCGTACACTGCCGTATTTCTTAACTTTATTTTAATCATTTGTAGATGATTCATCAACTTTTTTCAGTTCGCTATTTGAAAGAAATATAATGAAGATTTAAATGTTCATATAAAAGAATGATGAATATTAAACTAAGAAGAATTAACGTTGAATAGACTTAAGTGAAAAGTAAGGAATATTGGTTTATGAAATTTCACTGACTCGCATACTGCCATATACCTTTTAATAATTCTCTCATGGAGAGGGAGAGACTCGCTCATAGAATTCTCGACATAGAATGACCATTTACTAAAAGAAAAAAAATACATAATCTTATTAAAAATATTATCTTATTCAGAAGAAAAAAAAAAGAATGAATAATAAATATTTAAAGGCGGATAAAATTTTAATCAGATAAATCTTTTTTACGAATTGCTGGTATGTCATTAAATAGAATCAAATTCTATTAACAAACATTTAATGATGATCGTATGCACGCATTAATCATTCTATTTGTAATTTCATTCATTGGTAATGGAAAAAAATCATACGTTTACTATACAATACTATTCATCCCATTATTGTTATTATTATTATTATTATTATTATTATTTTTATTATTATTATTAACTATTGAACATATTCAGAAATTGCACATATGCATCGTTGGATCATCGGAATTGAACATACACATACATATGCACTCTCTGTTTCTTCTTTTTTATTTTCTAGAAAAACTGAAAATAGACTAACGTCCTTTCAATTTAATCCCAACTATCCTAATTTAGACTTTTAGAATGAATGTGTGGGACTAAATTAATTCAAAATAATTGATGAGCGAGGCCTTAGGAGTAGTCGATCCGCCCAATTCTTTACTTATGAATATAGCATTTAATCGTATTACTGAGCAATTCGCTATACAATTATAAATTATACATAGAAGATAGCAATTTAGTTTCATAGTTTCTCGTTAGGCATTGTATCTGACACTCATAATTGAAATTCCTGAAAGTTTAATAAGGTAGACTTTCATGAATGCATGTTAGATCCCTGAAATTCAAAAATACATTTAAATAAATTCAATATACATCAGAGATTCAATAAGTTAACAAAGTTGCTTGATGATTAATTACGTACATTTAAATCTTCATTCTGTTGCATGATAACAAATAATCATTATGAATGAAAGTGTCCCAATTAATTGCATTTGTTTCACTGTTTAAATAATTATCATTTATATATTATCATTTTTTAGCTAATAGATTTTTGAAAGTATCTCATATGTGATGATGAAAGAAAATTATTATTATATTAAAAATGATAAAATTGATTTCTATAAATTTTTTTAATTGGATTAATAATGAAAAAAAAAGCGCTATCTTGCTTACAACAGCAAATTCAGGAATTAATCAAAATACAAATATAGGGGGCCAGTTTAGAGTCACCCAAGCCTAACTAAATCAAAGATAGACTTATTAAATTAATTAATAGTTGTAAAATTCTTTAATATGTGGGTTCTGCCAGTAATTTGGTTCAGTAGTGATATATTTATTTTTTTCAATTGATATCCAAGTGATATATTCATTTGCTTTAATATATATAAAAAAAAGAGAAAAAAGAAAGAAAGCTATCTTCTGAAAGTCCTTGTACATATGTGTCTTCTACTCTAGATACCTGAAGAGGCATTATTGCACTGAATTAAAGGTCGAGCCCCCTATTTCATTGTGCGCCAACAAGAACCTATATAACATGAACATTTTGTGGAAAGATCAGAGCAAAAATTATTTGTAATTCTATCTTTATTACAATTTAAAAATTATTACATATAATAATAAAAAAATTGAATCGGCCTATTTAATATAAGAAAAATATATTTTATTTTTTGGTTAAATTATATGAAAATTTATAAATTTTTCATGCTCTTTTCTTTCCATTTCTTAAATTAATATCATGAAATGTTCTCTTTCATCTATAAATTCTATAATATAAAATAATAAATTCTAAAATTGAAACATTCAAAAATTCGAACTTTGAAGAAATAATAATTAATTACTTAATGATAAATCTAAAATAAATTTTTACAATTTTACAGTTCTTAAGAATAATTAATATCATAATAGCCTTAATATGTTATTTCTATTTTATGGCAATAAAATTATTCTATATTATCATAGAACACTGCCATAATTTTAAATATTATTATATTAATTTAAAAATTTTGTTAAATGTTACTATTATATTAGATTGTAATGTCTTAAAACATACATATTCTTTAAATGTTTTTTTAAAAATTTTGAAAATTTCTCAACGAAATTCGAAGTTTTCAAAGTTCGAATTATGATGATATATTGCAAATAAATAAAAAAAAATTTTTTTTCCTTTAAATTTATAACAAAATATTAATCAATATAATTATGAGAACATTTCTAATATAATAAAATATAAAATATTAATAAATAAAAAATTTTCATTGAATTCTGTGCATAAAAATATCTTAATTCACAGAACAAGGTTCCTATTATCTTTGAAATTTATTTTTTCAATAACCACTACAAAATGGAACTTTGTATGTTGTGAAAATCTAATAATAAATTTCTTGAATGCATAGAATACAATGTTAAAAATCTCAAGGCTCAATATATTTTTCATTTAACTCATATGAATAAAAACTTTTTAATAAAATGTAATATATAAATTCTTATTAAAAATTAAATATTACTTTAAAAAAGATTTCTTTTAATAGATATCAGGATTTAAAAATCTATTTCTATTACAATAAAGTTACGCACATTATAATTTAAATATAATGTGCATAATTTTAAAGAAACGGACTAAATATTATAAAATTATAAAAAAGATTAGAAAATTATACATAATAATTATAATACATCACAGAGATTTTGTGGACAGTGACTTGTTGGCGTACGGTATTAGGTTAGGTTCCTCGTAACCTACCTCGTCTCTCTTGTTACGCCTACTATTATACTGTTATTGTTGAAAACTCCATATTAATAAGAAATAAATATATTGTCTCAAAATAATCATTCTTATTATGAGAATTTGATGAGATTCTCTTAATCTTATCAATTCCTAAACATTAATCTACAATCTCTTAATTCTTCTATTATAATATTAAATTAATTTATAAAAAAAAAAATATACAAATATATAATGTAATTATATTTATAATTTTTCACATATTATTTTTAAAAATGTTTTTAATTTATCAATTATTTTATTCGTGATTAATTTATTGTATATTTCGTGAAATTGATAATAATATAATTTGCAAATACATACACATAACCTAATATATTTAAAACATATTAAACGATTCCTAAGTAACAAAATGCCAGCCAAAAAAAAATTACCGGACGTATTGGATCAAAGGTGCGTAAATGGTCTTAAAAGTAGAAACCGAAGTGAGTAGCTAAATGCTCGATCATCAAAGTAAAATAAGTGCAAGTCATTCACGTCATCTATGATCACATCACAATCACGAGTATTAATTCACGGCCGAACTTTCGCTTGTGTTTGTTTCGTATGTAGTTCCGTGTAGCACCCAATGCTTAGACAATCTAGACATTACTTTCTTATTACCTTATTATCTTGGCAAGACTGAACTGTTAGCGATTATAGTGACATATAAATATTATTGTTAATTTTTTCCCAAACAATTTCTTTACACTGTTTCTTTACTATTCGCCGTTTGAATTTTTGCTATTCACACATGTAAAAAATTAATATACGAATTATGAAAATAGATACTATAAGGCATATTTTTCATTGAGAAGTCCATTGAAAGCAATAGAAAACAAGTTGTTCTTATCAGTTCTTAAACAATGTGTTAAAATAAGCATACAATAAGTATTGAAAGCTGTGTATATGATTATTGATACATTGATGTTCATTTTGGACAAAGATATAATTGTCAATACAAGATTTCAACACGTGCGAATGATAATTTGGTGGAACTAGTATCAACATTGTAATAGTTAATATTCATCATTCATCTCGTACCTGCGTCATCAAGTATTGTTATTAAATTATCCGATAAATAGCATTTTTGAATTATGATTATTTAGCTGCATTTCTTTTCTCAATTCTTTTTGTTAATTTTATTTTATATCGAGAATATTATCAGAATTGTTAACTTCTTTCGTAATTTGTAATTCTTTCTACCAAAGATTTTTCGATCTTTTCAGTAAGTATAACTAATATTTTGTTCATAATTTATGAATTTATATAAAATTTATATTTATCTTTTGTTGATGAATTTAATTTTTTCATAGGTTATTTTAATGGATGAAGAAGACTGTTATATGAAAAAAGAAGCTCAAGGTAGCTTTCATTCCAAGAATCTTGGATCTAGTCCTTCATTCATGACAGAGAGTGAAGGTCTAGATTCTACAGAAAAACATGGTGATCTTGGAGACATGACTTTTTACATGGCTAATTATATTAAAGATGCTATGAAAATGATGTTCATTATGCGTAGTCATCATATGCTCACTGATGTTAT